GTGCGATCTCGGCTCACTGCAACCTCCGCCTGCCGGGTTCAAGCGATTTTCCTGCATCAGCCTCCCGAGTAGCTGGGGCTACAGGAGCGTGCCACCACACCCAGCTAATTTTTTTGTATTTTAGTAGAGATGTGGTTTCACCATGTTGGCCAGGATGGTCTCAATCTCCTGACCTTGTGATCCACCCACCTTGACCTCCCAAAGTGCTGGGATTACAGGTGTGAGCCACCGTGCCCAGCCATTGAGCACATTTGTATGTGTTCATTTGTCATCCATATGTATTCTCAAATGCCTTGGACATATTTTATTGGGTTGGTTGTCGTGTGTGTGTGTGTGTGTTTTAAGAATTTACTATTTATATTTATTCTTGGTATTCTGAAAGTGTACAGTAAAACACCTTTGTCTGAGACTCTTATGTTGGATAATCATGCCCTTCTTTGTTCAGGGGCATTTCTTTGCATGATTTCTATGATAATTTCTTCTGCCTTTTTCTCTGTTCTCAGTATCCAGAGATTTTCTTAATATAAATCTATATCACCTTTATTAAAACTTTTAAAATTGTTTCACTGTTGTCTTTTATTGAATGCTTTTTTATTTGCTACCTAATTTCTAAGAGTCTTTAAAACTACTTTTTCATAATTGATAGCTAAAATATAAGTATACAGCTTAACCAATTGAGCACTTGTTGTTGGTACCAAAGTGAAGGCAACTTCCTTTGGTACCAAAACTTATTGGATACTCATTTTTCCCCCTCTTCTATGGAAGGATGTACACAGCACTGGAGTTGTATGTTGCCCATAGACTTGCAGGCACTGCCACCAGCTCCCCCCCCACCAACTTTGACAACAACCTAATTTTTTTTTAAAGGATAAAAAGCCCATGGGGAGCAGGGATTCTTAAGTTGTACTGACCTTGCTTGGAGTGCTTTGAATGAACTAAGTTCAATTTGGGGCATGCTGAAACCCAGGGAAAACTGATTCCTGCTATTCTTTCCAAGTCATCTGATGACTGTCTTTGATTCAGAAATTTGGGTCTGGGGAAGAAGAAAAACTTGAGGAATGAATAAAAATGGAGAGATTATTGCTTTCTCCACTGATAAAGATAAACCCATAAAGTCTGGCCTATTTATTCTCAAGTCTACCCACTAAAGGTGATAGAAAATGTTTTTCTGTTGCTCAAGCTTTGGGTTATAGA